TCTTCCCTAGAAGAGTGACATTTGGGCAGATATCTAAAGACTGAATGGGAGTTCACTAGGCAAAGAGAAAGAGAGGAAGAACATTCCAAGTAGAGGGAACATCATGTGCCCAGCCTAAGAAGGAGGAGAAATGAGTTGCTGAAGGAAGACCAAGATGTTGAAAGTGAGGGGGAGAGGGGCCCTGGAAGATGCTGGGGAGGTGAGCAGGGTTAACCACACAGGGCCTTGTAGGTCCTACTAAGGATTCTAGTGCTCATCCTAAGAGCAGAATGAAACTTCTGGAGATGCTGACCCAGATTTATATTTCAGAGATTCCTCTGGCTGCGTGTGGACCGTGGACTGAGCTGGGTGAAGGGGTCAGGAGTGCAGACAGAGGGATGAGATAAGAGGCTGTTGAGATAGCTGAAGGGACTGATAATGACAGCTGGGACAAGGCCATCTCTTTGATGGCAGAGCTTGAGCCTTCTTCATCTCTGCATCCCCAACATGCAGCCTAGGAACTGGCCCACAGTCAGCTTCACATCGTTGGTTTGAAATTACCCGCAAATGATCAAGACCCAAACATCCTACAAATGGTCCCTGCGAAGAGAACTGGTTGGATTGTTGGTGAGACCAGATGCAGCAGGGAAAAGAGCCTCCCAGTCCTCAGAAACTGAAGGAGAGCCAAAGTTCTTAAGACTCCAGAATGTTCCGATAAGGATCTTCCCCATCTCCCAAATGAACAGCCAACAATCATCATAAAAGACGAGTTTTCCCCATGAGCTCATATGCACAGTTGTATTTAGAGCCTGTCAAAGGGCCAGGCTCTCCAGCTCCCAGGGAGGGCTCCCCAAACCTTTTGTCCTGGATACAGGAGGGGATGAGGCTCTTTGATGGGGCTTTCAGAATGCAGGAAAAGGAAGTTATAGCTCTGCTGGTATCAATCAAACACATGTACAGAGTACAACGACATCCCACTTAGCTGGCAAGATAGCGTTCTACAACCTCAATAATAGAATTAAAATGTGTGCCAGGTTCCCACTAGAATAAAGACCAGGATCACATAAAAACATTACATCAGCTCAGTAAAGAAGATACTATTATTATCCCCATTTTATACATGAGCAAACTGAGCCATCTAGAGAACAAGAAACTTGCCCAGCCTATGCAGGTCAGTGGTGAAGCTTGAGCTCTTAACCCCTTAGATCCTGGAAATGAGAGAAAATGGGAGGGAGGGTGCTTTTATTGAACACCTACCACGGTTAATTTTTTTTTTTTAATTTTATGTTCATAGGAGTCAAATTCATTTATCTGATAATTTTACTTCAGGATCCATCTTGTTTCCTATTAGTCTTGGATAGTGAGGTGTTGCTGTAGGTAGTGAATGTCTAAATTGGTATATTTTTTGTAAGTTAATGTGGCAGTGTGTATATATATTTAAATGTAAATACCTTTGATCAAGCAATTTTACTTCCAAGACACTATCCCATGAATAAACTTATGCATTTCTATAAAGATACATCTAGGAGGATGTTTATGATAACATTGTTTAGAGAAAAAGTAGAAACAACCTAAATATTAATAAGAGATGGGTCAAACAATTGATATAGTTTCTCATGCCACGGAATACTACGAAGCAGTTAAAAAATAAAAAATTCCATATGTATTAAATAAGAAACTATCTAAAGTATATTGTTACACAAAAATGACAACGTGGCAGAGGCACCTGGTCATCCACCAAAATCTGTCCGCCCCTCCTTCCATGTGATTGGAGTTTAATCTGGGCACACGGCCTGCAGCCCGCTAGTGATACATTCCCCAGCATCACTTGCTGCTGCATATGGCCACACAATCATTTTCCTTGTCACCATTTTCATATCAGAGAATGTGGCCAAAGTAATAAAATATATCCAGATACACAGGAGAAATACACACACACACGCACAAGCACGCAACTAAGACAAATAGTGAATTTGATTAAATAAAAATAACAGATAGTTTGTGAATTTGAAAAAGAAAGACATTCTACAAAACGATCAAGAGCCTTTGGAGTTAGACACATCTGGGTTCCAAACCTGGCTTCAGAAATTAATAACCATGTGAATTTAACCTCCCCGAGCCTCAATTTCCTCATTTGTAAAATGGGTATAACATGGCCCACCTCCCAGAGTTGTTGTGAGTGTTAAGTGGAATATTGTCAAATGCTTAGCACAGTACCTGGGACATAGTAATCCCTCTAGTTATAGTAATCATGCTAGCTAATCACTATAGTAATCGCTCTATCATTTGTTAACAGTAATATTATACAAGAAACACGTATAATACTAAGCAGCATTCATCTATGCCACTAATTATCAGCTAGAAAAATCTAATGAAAAAAGAATCTTCTCCATAAGTAGGCAAAAATATATCACATAGAATGTACCCCATTAAGAGTTATGGGAGATCTATACAAAGAACCTTAAATCTTTTAGAGGAAAAAGAAAGGAATACTTAAATTAATAGAGGGACAAACCATGTGCCTGAATGAGAACTAAATGTTTGCAAATTAAATAATTAAAAAATCTGTAAACTGTAAAACAAATAAAACTAGGACAGATCTTCTGAATCCAATGTGTAGCTATAGAGTAATCAGAATTAAAATGTTGCATAAAATGGTCTCAATTTCACTTAGAGAAACAGGTGAGAGGCAAGTTGGAAAGGACCCGGAATCCTTGGATCTTAGGTTAGAGTTAAGAGACTTCCTAGGTCATCCAGTCCAAGAGGGAACAGAGACCCACAGAGGCTGAGGAACGTATTTCAAGACTCGTTAACTGGTGTCTGGAGGACATGAACTCAAATCTCCTGACTTCTTGTCCAGTTGTTTTTCCATTATTTTGCACTGAATCTTTGTATCTAGAACATAATGAATATTCTGAAAAAGAAGAGTGATGAGGGAGAAGTCCCTCACTGTCCACTAGAACATATTATAAAGCACAAGTAATTAAAATGGTGATCAGAATAAAACAGACTCAAGGGCCCAGAACGAGTCTTTGGTATATATTAAAAAGAATTGAGCATATGATTATCTAAAGCACAAAATAACACGAAATACAAACTCTATTAAAATATTATTGAGGTAACAGGATCTTAAATCTTCAAATACCTATATTCAAAAATAAATTTCAGAGGTATTAGCAAAATAAATATAAATAAATCAAACTATAGATAAACTAGTAGAAAATAGATTTGCTATCCTAGTTAAGGAGAAGTAATATTTTTATAATGATTGAAATAATGGAAGACTTCTTGAAGGAAAAGATAGCCAGAAGTCCTTACATAAAAATTTTATGATTTCTCTAAAATAACACAAAACTTGTTAAAGAGTAAAAAAAGATAGAGTGAAAAAGTACTGAGAAAAATGCAGCCAACAAATGGTTAATAGCTATAGAGTTTATATATTACCAATAACATAAGCCAACAGAAAACCCAAGAGCCAAATGGAACACGGGTAAAGAAATGAGTAGCTAATTCACCCAGTAAGGAAAAGTAAATAAATAAATAATTAAAAATGTTAAGTTTGAGTTTGCTTGCTAGCAAATTAATTGAAGTAATGGTGCAATGGCATTTCATAGTACTTATAATAATACATTATAGTTGTTATTACTATTGATTATCTGCTTCTTACTATATTCTGGCCAATTAGGAGCAAAAGCAAAGTCCAATCCAGTGCTGGCACTTCTTGGGAGAAAGACCCCTCACTCAGTCTTTGCAGGTAGCTTTATACATTGGAGGCAATTTGCTAAATACAAATGCTTATACACTTTGACCCAGTAAATCTCAGGCCTGAGAATTTATCCCAAGGGATTAAATTAAAGGAAGAAAGAAAAAAACAGGTACAAAGTTGTTTACGGTAGGGTTGTTAATCATAGTTAAAAGAACTGTAAACATCTGAAATGCCCAACAATAGATACATTAATACAAAAGGATACTATGTACCCATTAAATGATAAATATGAGGACAAGTCAAAACATATGGAAGAGTTATGAAAGAACCTAAGTTCAAAAAGTAGAAACAGGAAGTTATACGTATACCATCAAATGAATTGTGGAAAAAGCATAAATATGGGTAAATACTAGAAAGAATAAAAAATTGTTGCTTTCTCAGAATTTATAGGGTTGTGGGTGAAATTTTAAGATAAATCTTTTCCTAGTGTTTTGAATCTGCTTTAATAAACAAATTAAAAAGTAGAGAAGTCTATAATATTTTTTTCCCCAAAGTTTCCTCTAAACATGGAATTAGTACTTTAGAAAAAAAATCGCTAGAAATTTTACTTCTGGGAATCTTCTTGTTAATGTTGAATAGGTAGGTGTTAGTTACTATATTTCAGACCACAGGCTTCCAATACGGTTGGTGGCACCCTGGACACACCCAAAAAACAATCCTCAAGCAGAAGGCTTCTATGCTGACAGAGGTGGCATGAGCCGTCAGAAGAGGTGAGCCAGGAGATGGGTGTGGGGGAGAGAAGGGTACACAAAGTCTTGTTTTCTGAAGATGGGTCTGGCAGGATGGGTGGTTGGGGACTTGCAGTCACTGGGAGGGAAGGGTTGGTCTGGACTTTGTGGTGACAGCAGATTAGAAAGCAAGAGATGACTCTGATGTCTTGAAAAGAGGAACTGTTCTATTTGGGAGGCTTCCTGGGTGTGAGAGGAAAAGGAAAAGGAAGCCTCAGAAGTTCAGGCCTGGGTCACCCTCAGACCCAGTGGGTGCTAACAAGGCTCAGGGAGGGCGGGCAGGGTCCAGAATGGGGCTGGCTGGAGGGAGACAGTTGAGGGGTTCTCCGGGCAGGCAGGAAACATGATCTGATTCATTCATTCATCTGCAAATATTTACTGCGGGCCTGCTCTGGGTCTGGCCAACACGCCCACTGGGCAGACAAAGGCCCTAAAGGGAAGCCTAGTGTTTACACGGTCACCTTCTTTGGTCTGAGGAGATGAATCCAGCCCTGCCCTGAGAAAAGCGTCCGCCGGACCGCACCTACCTTTTTCTTGTTCAGCCGCTTCACTAAGGTCTGGAAGCTTGAGCCCCACTAAGTTCTGATTTCTTAGCAGGATGTGCTCCTTTATAGGAAAAGGAAAAAAAAAAAACATTTCAGATGATGACATTAGGCTGGACTCTTCTCTCGGTTCTGTCTGTGGCTCTGTGTGGGGGACGACAGGGGCAGTGTCCAAGGTGGGTGGACAGTCATGCTGTGGTGACATGTGAGGGGCAGTCAGAAGACAGTTCCTTTCCCAGCCCAAAGGTGCCTGACACTCCACAGCGGGTGCCATATTCCTGGGGGTAAGACTGGCCTTGGCATGGCCTGCTTTTCACATAAGCCTGTGGGCCTCAGGGCGAATGAGCTGCTCAATCACACTGTGGCAGAGAGCTAGAGAGGACTGGAGAACAAACAGACGCAGAGCCCAGGGCTCTGGGGACAGGAGGGTCCCCTGGGTGTGTATGGAGCTGCTGCTGGAAACAATCTTTTGATCTCGTAGTTGTGCTCCGAGCTGGCTGGAGCTTCCTGCCCTGTTGTTCTGGGCAGTGAGAGCCCACTTCCTGAAGTTGTGGCCTCCCCCGCCCCTAGTTCCTCAGTGGCCTGTTCTGGCACCTCTTGAGTTGTTCAACTCTCCAGACAAATGAGACCTGAGAGTTGCTGCCACAAGGCAGCAGGCACAGCCGCCACTCTCCTGCCCGAGGCCTCAGTAGTCAGAGTCGGGGGAGAGATGGGGATGCTGACTGCAGGTATGTGGCACAGGTAGGCTCATACTTGCTCGGAGTCTATCAGCACCAGACCAGCGCCCCCAAGTGGAAATGTCTGACTCAGCCCCTTGCCCCTTGTGACATGCTTAGTAGGGGGATTTTGTCATCCATCTGGCAGAGGCCACTGGAGTCGTTTGCCCCCTGGGTAACGAAGGAAAGGAAGGAGCCAGCAGAGGGTGCTCTGGCCCAAAGGGAAGTCAGGACCAGGGCCCTTGACCTGTGTCCTTAGCAAGCCAGAGGCCCACAGCCAATCAGCTCTCGGCACACTGGATTGGGGTGGGCGTGCTCAGCTACTAGGGCAGTGGTTAGTGGGATGGGGCCTCCAGGTTCTCTGTGACGTTCTTTGCTGCAGAGAGAAACTTGCAGGGGTGTGGGGGGTGGCCTGTTGCCTAGGCCTAGCCTCTGATGCCCAGAGGCCCATGAAGGCCAATACCTGGCTGTCTGGCCCCTTTGGGACTCTGGGACTCTGGCTCACCATGGGCAGTCCCTCCAGGCCCTAGGCTGATCCACTCGTTAGTGAGGTCTTCCTGGCTGTGTGGGGTTTTCTGTAAAATGTTAACACCAGAGCCGGGCCTTAGCTCCCCTTGAGCCTCCAACTCAGAGCATCATGGAAGAGTTCTGAATAGGACAGTGGCCAGCATCGGAGTGTGTCCCTGCTGGCACAGAAACCCCCTCCCTGTGCTTGACCGCCATCAGGTGCCTCTTTTCCTTCCCTGTCCCATGCCTCCTCTGTAGAGGAGCCAAGAGAGCCTTGTCCAGCTCCAGCTGTAGGGGCGCTAAGTCCCACCCTGTGGAGTCCCGGCTGCCTTGGCCTGTGGCCTTCTGGGGAAGAAAGGACTGCAGATTCCTTTGTCCTGTTAACCTCTTCAGCTCAAACCCTGGTCTCTCTCCCCTACATCTCTGGATACCCCCAATCACCCCTTGCATATGGTGGCAGTTCCATGAGAGACCACTGGGCCTGGGTTGATGGCCAGTGAATGTTGGGGACATCATGGACATTGGAAGAAGTTCACCACGGGGGAGCAGCCCCTCGTAGCCGTTATTACATTGTGGATGGATTGGAGGCCCTTTGTTAACAGGCACCCGGGCATTACGAAGGGAAAAGCTAGTCTATCCTTGCCCAGCCCAATCCTAGGCAGGACAAGGCACTCTATCAAGGGCTTCCCGTTTATGAGCCACCAGCTCCGCTGGAGGGGAAAACACAGCCCAGGATTGAGGGCCTGTGTATCCCTCCACATACTCACCTTCCCCTTGAAATGTGGCTTTGTGTGGCAACTCTATCCCAGACTGACCTGGCCCCGGTAAGTGGTGTAAAAAGCCCCTGAAACTCGTGTTTATCAAGATGCCACACTGTGGGCCTGATTGCTCCGGGGTGGGGGGGGGGGGGAGGGCAGTTTAGGGCCCTGCAAGGTCCCAGTCCGGGCCAGAGCTGCCCTGCCCCAGGGCCAGCCCCCGCCCAGAGGTGTTCAGCCCAGGGGGACGTGGAGTGCACAGCCCCCATACTGGCGCCCAGGAACCCACCTCACGGAGCTTGGTCAGTTTCTGCATCCGCACGGGCTGCACTTGTATCTGAAAGTCTTTGAGTCCAGGCGCCTTAGCCAGCTTGCTGCTAGCTCTGCCTGCAAAACGCTTCTCTTCCTCTGCCAGTGGCAGCTTGGCAAGCACTTTCTGCAGCCGGGGGCCAGGTTCTTCGGGGCCGCTGTCCCAGGAGACCCCCCGCAGCAGGGGGGGCCGGGACACAGGGGACCGCAGCTCGGCTTTGGAGCCAACTTTGGACCCTGTCGGCTCTCCAGCTGTGCCTTTTCCCTGGGGGGCTGTGGGAGCCACCCCTCCAGAGCCCTGGGCTGGACTTCTGGGCAGAGGGTTGCCCTCCCTGGCTGTCTTCAGGAGCGGCTTCTCCAGCTCACTCTCAGCGGGGCCAGGCTGGGGGCTGTTCAGGGCCATCTTCCCACCACTGCCTGTGCCAGAAGCTGGGCCCTTGTGTGTGGCCTCAGGGTGCTGGAGGGGATCGAAGTTTTCCTTTTGTTCTATTGCAATCTCTTTGGACTTCTCAACTGTGGGAGAGCGAGGAGTCAGCCTGCCCTGAGACACTTTCCTCTGGTCATTCTGCTTCCGGTCAGCTAGCCCTTTGGGGACACTCTGAAAGACACAAAGTAGAGCTGGGACCCCGGAGGCAGGTTGGAGAGGACATAGGTGGGGCCACTTCTGCTGTGGGACAGAGGCCACAGACCCTGCCTAGGGGCGTGTGTGTGTGTGCGTGTGTGTGTGCGTGTGCGTGTGTGTGTGTGTGTGTTTAGGGGTGTGGGCTAGGTGGAAGGAGAGGGCTTCTCAGTCAGGTCTGAGCCATTAAAGGGGACCCACAGAAAAGCCTGGGGTTTGTAAAACAGACAGGACAAGGGAACCTGCGATCCAAAACCTGCCGAGAACTTGCCAAGGGCTAGGAGCTGAAAGGACAGTGGAATAGAGGGCAGCTTGGGGACAGTCACAGTTTTGGCCTTGACTCAGTTGCCCCAGATTTTAGTCCTGGCTCTGCCTGGAAAGGCCCTTGACCATTAGGGACTCAGATTTCCTATCAGGTTTGTGAAACCTCTGAAATTATATGCAAATGTATATGTGTGTTTGGGTGCATTGTGTGTATTTTTCTGGAAAGAGAATCCACCGCTTTTAAGAACTTCTCACAGAGTTCCGTGATCCGAAAGAGGTTAAGGATCACTGGACAAGGTGATTCTTGCAAAGGTGCTATCTTACTGTGCAGAAGTTGTAAGATTCTGCACACTTCCTTCATGTCCCAAGGGAAACCTGCTTTGTGAAGAGCATGCGGGTCCTCATTTGGGTTTTGTGTGGCTGTCTTGTGTGTGTGCTGAAACTCTTCCGGAGAACTCTACCCCAGACCCAGTTCTAGACGAGATTGTGTTCTATGCTGCTCTTAACACCACCTTGAGCACTGTGCTCTGAGCAGATGTGGGGCCCCCCTATCACTCATCAGCAAATACGAGGTTATCCTGGCTGTCCCCAGGAAGAATCTCGACCAGGGGCTGGAGCTTCCCTGCAATTTTCACTCGAGTTGACGAGAGCAGCAGTCTTGCCTGGCTGTTGCTAGGCCCTGTGGCCCCCCTGATCTCTGGCCAGCAGCCTGAGTGGGGGTACAGGGTTATGAGCAGGACCACCACAGAGGTCACCCCCACTGAATCCTGCCTCCTCACGCCCTCCACCTCAGACTTCCAGTCACAATAGGGCAGAGGAACCTGCTAGCTTCCCCAGCCTCAACTCTCCGCTCATGCACACCCACTTGCAGGCTGCCCAGGGCCAGCGTAGGCTTCTGGGACACTGTGTCTCCCACATCCCAAGCATCCAAATTGGCCAGAGCTCAAACTCACAGGCTCGCCAAAGAGAGGTGAAGAGACTTCGGCCTCATTCCCCTTCTGCTGGAGGAAGCAAACACGAGTCAGTCAGCGATATGAGGAGATGATATCTCCTCTTGGAATACCCTTGAGGAGGTCCCCAACAGTGATGCAGATGCCTCCCCGCCCCGGCACCTCACCTCCAGTGGGTCATGGAGGGTCTCTCGGGTGTGTGTTAAGGGGTAAGAGGGCAGACCAGTTGACATAGAAACCCCAAATGGGGCCCCTGTTACCTGTGGTGGTGCTCTGGGCAGAGGTGACTGTGGACCACTGCATGCATCCAAGCCTGGAATAATCCAAACACTGGTGAGAGATGTCCAGCACTCCAGACTCTCAGCTGTCCCTTTATCAAAACAGATCTACCTCCCCAGAATATCCTTTCTTAGCTCTCAGGCCTGGGAGCCAGTAACATCACCATTTGTCGAGTACCCGCCACATGCCAGGTTCTGTGGTGAGCCCGCATTTCATCATCACAGAAACCACATGAGGGAACTGAGGCAGAGGGAAATCAAGGTCACACAGCCAGGAAGTGTCAGCGCTGGGATTTGAACCTAGGCTGCCCGACCTGAGCATGAACTTGCCAACAGCTCTGACAAGGGCAGGCTGCTCTCCCTGGCGTCCTGCCCCTTCCCCTGCTGATGAGGGTGTGGCCCTGAACACAGCCTAATGAAAGGGAAGAAACCAAAAAGCAAAGAGTACCTCAAATAGAGGCCTTTCCAAAGAAGCTCTGAGGTGACCTCTCTGAGAGGTCCAGTTGTAGTCCCCTTCCCACAACCTTGCCCCGTCTTCACCCAGCCTGCCTCATCCTGGGCTGGGCCTGTCTCCCCACACTAGCTCAGAACCCTAAGAGAAAGTACATCCCCCACCTCTGAGGCAGCCCAGCCAGGCCAAGCTGGGGGCCTCCTGGGGAGAGGGCCAAACAGGGGTGCTGACTGGAAAGCCTGCGAGATGGGAGGCGTCCTGGTCAGGCCAGGGGAGGGGCTGAGCCGCCACCCAGAGGGAGAAGCCAGGGCAGGAAATGCCAGGGGCGCTGGGCCTCACCGGGCGGTGTGGGGACGGTGAGTGAGTTGCTCCGAGAGGATGCAGGAGAAGCTCCGGGACTGAGGTTCGGGGAAACAGCTGTGGAGACAGACACATATTGGCCAGCATTTATGAAGGTTTAGGACTTCAGCCTAATGAAGACATCTTTTCAGGTATTTCTGACCCCTAGGAACCTGGTCTGCCTAGTCGGCGTCAGGGGCTGATTCTGGACTGCCATATAAGATTCCTACCACACCCCAACACCTCCCTGCCGTCAGCCCAACAGAGGGGACACTTGGGTCATTAGGTGGGTGAGAATTGGGGTCACACTCCTCAGCCTGCTTGGCCTGACCTCCAAGTACCTTCTAGAAACAGACGACCTGGCATTGCTAGGCAGGTGCAGCTCCAAAGGCGGTACCTCCTAGACTTCCCAGGATGGCCCTGATTTCAAATGCTCCCCTTTGCCTCCTGAGGACCTTCAGACTTGTCCAAAACCTGCCCCAACTTTTTGCTCAGGAAGAAGAGTGACTTTAGCCAAAGGGGTAGCAGGAGAATTTCAGGGCCCAGGAAAACCTTCCTTCTGATCCAGAAATTCCATAAAGATGCCAAAGACCACCTTCGCTTCCCCACAGTGCCAGGATCCTTCCCAGAGCCCATAGCTGGAGATCAGGGAGAGGGAGCCCAGAGCTGGCCTCTGTGGACCTTTACTGAGGAGGTGCCCATAGGGTGTCCTGGGAAGGTGGAGATGTCACACAGACTCCGTTCATGCAGGATGACCCAGGAGTCATGCCAATGGGCATCACCCAGAGGATTCAGGGATGGAGGAGGCCAAGTTACATTCATGGGTATCATATGGGCTGAGATTTCTTGGTGAAAAAGGAAGCCACATACAGGGACAAAAAAACAAATAGAGGAGCTTTCTGTGCTAGAGTTGGGTCAATATTTTAGAGCTCCTGAAACGGGGCAAGGTGCCCTCTCCTCACAGATCCTCTCTGCAAGGCTCCATCCTCCTGGGGCCTAGAGGCCTGGGGTCAGGTGAATCAGAGGCCAGACCTCGGAAGCAGGGCTCCCAGTGCAGCTGGGGCCTGGCCTTCCCACCCCCACCCTGCCTCCGAGGGGCTCAGGGGGCCACCTGCACATCCTACCTGAGGGGGAGTCTCCGGGGCTGCTCCTGGACTTCCTCCCGCGGCGGGTCAGGAATCGCTCACTCACCGACTTGGCTTCTTCCAGCAGTGCCAGGTTTTTCTTCTTGTCCTCCTCTGAGATGCTGATGTCAGGCAGCTGGTCATTCACCAGGTCAATGATGTGCCCCGCAGGGTCTGCAGAAGGAGGTGAGCTTGGGTTGAGAGCCACGGAATACTCGGCCCAGCCGAGAGGGTCCCCTCCTCACACCTCGGCCCCAGGAGGCTGCCCAGGGCTGACTCAGCCGCCAAGCCTCAGCCCAGTGCCGGGCCAGGGAGAGGGCTATGTGGGGACAGACAGGGCTTCCTTAACAGGCCTGGCCCCTCGGGGGCTTGCAGCCTGTGGCTGCAGCAGGTCCTCTGTCACAAATGCTCATGAAGCCACATTGGGTTCCCAGGAGTGTCCTAAACTCCACCACTAGGGAAGGCCATCAGGAGCCCCACTGTGTGCTATCTGCTCCCCTAGTGTATTCTTCCTTCCGGTCTCCATTTCTTCAACGAGCTAGTGAGCTTAACATGTGTGGATGAGGGAGCACTCCAAAGATCATAGGCCCAAGACACAATCCCATGACCACCTTCTCTTTCTTCTTCCCTCCACTCCCATTGTTTACCCCCATCCTTTTCCAAAACTGTCCCTTCTCTGGCAGCATTCTCTGGGTGAATGACACCACCTCCCACTCAGCTGCTCAGAAACACGGGAGTCCTCCACACTCCTGTCTTCCGAAGTCCTCCCACGTCCAACCAACTGATCATTAACTCCTGGCATTGACCTCATAAATATTTCTGGAACTTGCCCCTTGTCTGCATTCTTGGTCATTAGCTCTCACCTGCACAATTACATCAGCCACCTCATAGATCCCTCACCTCCAGGCTATCCCCTCCATCCCATCCTCCACTGCCTATCAGAGTGACCCTCCTATGAGCCATATCTGACCATGCTGTTCTCCTGCCTCACCTCATTGGGATTCTTCATGGTCTCCCGTATGACAAAAGCCAATTTTGCTGACCCCATATGCTCCTCTGGAGGCCCCTCCCCTCCAGCCCCCTGGTGGTGAATGGCTCCCATTATGCCTCTCCAGCCTCCATTCCCCCTTCTTCTGGTCGTAGCTCCTCAGTTTGCGTTGGGTGAAACCCCTCTGAGTCTCAATTACATTAGTTAGGAAGGAGCTAACATCCACCCACCACCTCATCCCAAGTGCCAGGAATAGGACTGTGTTCAATGACCAGTCGATGAGTTCAATCTCCCTGGCCATAGTGATTGGCTAAGGGATGGCCACGGGAGGCCAATGAGAGGCAATCCTGGGAATTGTGTTGAGGATATGGGGAAGAGGAACTCTCTTTCCACTGATGGGATGCAAGCCTAGAGTTGCTGGTAGCCATTTGCCAAGAAGAAAGCAAACACACAGAAAGGAGACTCGAGAAATGGGATGGGACAGTTACTAATGACCCAACTTGAGCACCTGGTTTCAGCACTACCTGAAACCACAAGCCCTGGCTTTTATTTATTTTTATTTCTTGGTGTAAGCTAGTTTGAGTTGGGTTTCTATCGTTTGAAAGAGTCCTAACTAACACACATGGCAGAGCATTGAGTTGCTTTTATGGTTCCTGCTCCCTGACCATGTTGCTTCTTCCTCCTGGAATGCCTTCCCTCCCTCTTGCCTATCTGTCCAACTCTCTAAGGCACAACTCAAATACTCTCCTCTGGTATACCTACCCAAGCTCCTCCCTCCCCAGAGAGAATTGGACCCCTTCCTGCCTCAGTTTTCCAAACACTTCTGTGAAAGTCCTCACAATGCAGTGTCCTGATTCTGTCTGTTCACTTCTCAGTCTCCTCATAGACTCCGAGCAATATGAAGGCAGAGACGGAGTCTGTATCATATCTATGTTCTGATGGTCCAGAACAGGTGTTGAGAGACCATCTAGGGAACAAGTGGGTGGTTGGGGCAGCCAGCCTTGCATTCAGACATGTGCCTACCTGGATGTGGGCCTTTCTAGCAGGAGGCAGAGGGCTCTGCCTCCTAAGCCCCGGAATTGAGCCTTACCCAGCTGAGATGAGATATCATCCATCTTTTGAGCTCAAACACAGAGGGTCTGATCTACTTTGCCCTGCTGGGCTCGTAGGGATAGGCCTGTCTGAGGAGCAGGAGAGGGGAAGGGGCCCAGCCCGGCCAAGCTGCCAGACCTCAGTCTTCCTCCTCAAACACACCTTCAGCTGGACCCCTATGTCTGGTTGCAGAAATAAGATAAAGTGGCCTAGCACTTACCCACAGAAGTCAGCGAAGCAGTGGAAACCTTCAAGTGTCGGTGAGAAAGCCTCCTGTGGGGACTGTGAGCTCTGAAAGACAGAACAGAGCCATCTTGTCAAGAAAATTTGTCCACAGCTTGGAAATAGGCAAACAGATGCCTGTATATTCTTTCAAAGTCGTATGACGGCATCATCAAGCTTGTCTAAACCTGGGGACTTGTTAGAACTGCAAATTCTCAGGCTCCATCCAGACCTACTGGATCAGAAACTCTGGGGGTGGGGCCCAGCCATCTGTGATTGAACGGACCCCCTAAGTGATTTTGATGCATGCTAAAGTTTTCAAACCACTGCCCTAAGAAGATGTAACTATTTACTATTTATTAGGGCCCAGACTCAATGAATATCTAACTTGTAGAAAACTCATAAAATATAAATAATTGTTTTCTGGTAGAAATGCAGATGATTTCTGTTTGGGAGAAAAGAAGAAAATACGATTTCATTGCCCTGTAGAGTATTAACCTGTTTTATATCTAACTTGGCAATTTTACTCCAGCATTTTTTCCCTCCCCACTGATTATGTACGCATATCCATGTCTTGTATTTTCCTTTGAACTGGCTTTGTTATCCTGATGGGTCCCCCATTAATGAATTAAATAAATCTTTGACACATGCTCACGATATATTTGTATGAGAATTATCTTTGTAACTTTGTGAGAATTGTAGTTAGACAATCTCATGCCAGCTAGACCAACGCATGGGCCAGTGCTGTGTAAAACCGAGGCAGGAATGTCCTGTTGCATGACAGCCAATGTCCCTCCCAAGAGATTGTCTTCCTCACAGGACCCGCTTTGGCCAGGGGTAGGATTCTACAGTCCAAGACTCACATCTTTCAGGTCTGTTTGCAGTTATTACAGGAAACTCCTCTGCTATGACTCGTGCTTTTCTTAAAGACTTAGCAAAGTGCAAAGAGCCAAATCCAGGAGAGGAAAAATAATTTGGGGGAGAAAGATAAAGGAAAAATCCCAAGCTCTCTCTCCCATTTTGAAAAACTACCTGATTGTATTTTCATCAATAAAATGATCCAAGAAAGAAGAAAGAGTTTATAAAAAATAAAGCTGTTTAATCCCCATGTTCTAAGAAATATTGTTCTTCACAGAGCAAAGATCAGGCACATGGGATGCACCTGTTGGCCAGGTTTTTGTCAGTTTCTTCTTCCGGTGAACTGGCATCCCCAGTCAGGACGATGGCGGGTGGACTGCAAGATACTCCTGCCGTGGGAGGGCCCTGGTGGTTTAGAACAAAAGCACAGATGGAGTTAGGCTTGGGATGGTGGAAGCTTCGAGGAAAACTGGAGCTGGAGCAATTATTCCAGCATCATGATACTCAGAGCCATCTTGATAAGGGGATCAATGCAGTTCATTTGGATTATTTTGGAAGAAAAAAAAAAAAGATAGGCAGTTTCTCCTTCATTCCCCAGCAGGCAAATTCCCGAGCGTAACACGGTCCACTTTTCATGCACTAAGATTAGGGAACCTCTAAGCCACCCCTGGTTAGTTCTCACTGACAATCTAGGAAATAAATGCCACCGAGTCCTTCCCCGTCTGGGGAAGAATGGAGGCCAGGAGGAAAGGCGGTGGCACCCACACATTCCTGATACTCAGTGACAGTCCTACATTTGGGTAAGTGTGACATTTCAGTGAAGGTGATTTGTTCAGTGGGTAATGGAATGCAGTTTAATTTTTGCAACTTTGTAAAAATGTTCATGTAAATAAATAACACATTTCTGAAATTAGAACAAAAGTTATTAGCCAGTCCTTAGATTTTTGAGGTGTTATTTCACAACTACTAAACAAAACAAAACAAATCTACTCATAGTCAAAGTGAAGGAGTTATTATATCCTGTGTTGGTAAAGTTGTAGTGAATTGTTATACTTCTATGCTGCTGATGGCTGTGTGAGTTGTAAAACCATATCTGGAATAAAATAAATACTTGTTGGGTGAGTCAATGAATAAATGAAATAAAAGTGATATAGGAGATATAATAAGATCCATAAAGATGCACCTCAACCTGTGTGTCCCCACACCTAAATGGACTGGAGGTAAAAATGGGACCAGTTAACAGTCATACACCATATCTCTGGTTCTTTGGCTATTACAGTATTTCCATGGCAGAATTCTTTTCAGTTATGCCTGGGAGAGTCTCAGGGGTTCTCTCATATGTCCCTTCATCATTTTCCTTCTCCTCTGCCCCTTCCTGTTTACTGGAATGTGCCGCCAGGGCCCTCTGTGCACACCCTGCTGTCGTGTGCCAAAGATCTGTTTCCTCGCACTCCAGAGCATGTCGCACCACCTCCCACTCTTGGTGTGGTCTCCTGCAGCTGCAGAGCAGTGGGTGCCCATCTTCCCATTGCCACTTTTTCTGGGGGCCGTGTCCTTCTGGAGCCACCGGTCATTAAGTATTATTACTTCTAGTGGCCCCACTGAAGCCATGGCCTGAGGTCTGCCCTCGCAGAGCCAGGGCTGAGCCATATTCTTTTTTTTTTTTTTTTTGGTGAGGAAGAGTGGTCCTGTGCTAACATCTGTGCCTGTATTCCTCTACTTTGTATGTGGCTCATCACCACAGCATGGCTTGATGAGTGCTGTGGGTCCATGCCCGGGATCTGAACCCGCAAACCCAGGCCGCTGAAGCAGAGTGTGCCAGACTTAATCACTACATCACTTGAGCCCTCAGTATGCAGGTGTTGGCTCCTTGCAAGGTGAGGAGGAGGCCTTCTCTCTTTTTCACGTTATTATTTGTTGTTAAATGGGTCCCGTTCAGTGCTGTCTGGACTTCTTAAATCCCACAATTTTTAATGAAACTAGCTCTTCTCATTTTTAATTGTATCTCTTCCCTCCCTTGACCTCAAACTTAAGGCAGGGTGAGCTGACGAAGAGTCTCTGAGTGAGTCCAGCCAGGGAATGCCAGATCTCTGCGTTCCGGGACCTCATCAGCTGAAGGGAGCTGCAGTGGCTGGGGGAGGGAGAAGCACTCAGAATCTTCGAGCATGAGCACATGGAAGGGAAGTTTGGGCAGAGACTTCGGCTGGATGGGAGGAGTAGGAAGAAGCGTTGCCATTTGGATGAGTAATACAGACCTGGGCTCAAATTTCTGCTCATCATCTATTAGCTGTGTTTCTTGGGCAAGTTATTTAACCTCTCTATGCCCCACAATCATAAAATCTAACTCACAAAGTTGATCTAAGGACTAAAAATAATGTTGATAAAGCACCTAGCACATGACTGATGTTTTCAATAAATGGTTATATTACTGTCAGATTATTTTTCTCTTTCGTTCAACAAACACATTTTAGTTATCATGTACCAGGAGCAGCTTGAGATACAAGGATCCTCAAGGGCTCACAGTCAAGCAAGGGATGCAGAAGTAATTAATACTTATAATAAATATAAGATGATAAAAGATGGACCACATTCTCTGAAAGCTCAGAGGAAAGGAAAGAAAACTTTCTTATCAGGGGAGTTGGGGAAGATTTTCCAGAAGAGTTGACATTTGAGCTAGGTCTTAAGGGATGAATAGGAGCTTGAAAGACAAAGATATTAGGGGAGAGGTTTTGGGCAAAGGGAATAGCATTAGCAAAAGGGATAACTGGACAATAGGGATTCATCAATGTAGCTGGAGCATAGACTGTGGGGTATGTGGGATAGAAGAGTCAGGGATGAGGAAAAATATGAAACTAGAATAAGAGGTTGAGTTGGCTTCTGAAGGACCTTGGGTGCTACTCCAGGGAGTTTGGTCTTTATGGTTTTGGAGATGGAGAACACTGAGGGTTAGGCTTGGGAATAATTTGACTACCCAAAGAGAAAACAGAAATGTTGATAGCAGATTCATCCATGGATCCCCATGATTCACATTGTTTGAGATGATGGAAGTGGCCCAGTTATTAAAGCATCCATCCGCCCCGTAGGAATTTTGTGAAGCTTCTGGTAAATTGGAGCTATGTCACTATCCATTTGGACACCCACAGTTGGCCAATGTAGACTGATAGGGAGTCAGCATGATGCTTGCAGCTGGAACCAGAGCCAATCTGCTCTCATACCCCAGAGCTCCATTCCCCCCAAGAACAGAGACATCCATCCTTCCGTCGAGGACTGCCTCTGGAAGAGACGCCCAGGGAGTTTCCCCAGAAGCAACAACTCTTTCTGTGGATAGTGTCCCCCTGACGGGCTGGTGGTGAGCTGGTCACTTGCTTTGTCCTCTTGTTGCACTGTCCCTCGGTTCTCACAAGTGTAAAATGGTCAAAGGCCTGCTCTGTCTCAGAAGAAGCTTGTGGGAATAAAATGAAATGACAAATGTGTGTAGACTTTTATAGGTGTCATATGGTCTACAAATCCCCATTAGTCACGGTTATCACTAAAACGAATGGCGGCTCTACTCAGTTCTCCCACGTTTTGTCCACCAAGCTCCCCCAGTGGGAGGCCAGCAAGCAGCAAAGAGGCTGGGGCCTTCCAAGCAGCCAGGAGGAAAGCAGGAGGATCTTGGGTCGTGGTGTGGGACCTGAGGACACACATGGAACAGTTTCCAGGGAAGCTGCTGAGGTCAAGAAGGGGAAGCAGTGTGTCAAAATGGCAGGTGATGGGATGGGGCTGGGGCAGGCAGGGCCAGGGGTAGGGGCCAAGTTAAATGGGGGTGCCAGGGAAGAGGGAGGAATGGGGGATTTTCTATTGTGCAGGTTCTCTGGTAGAGAGGGAAGGGCTGAAGTTTTTCCAGAGGCTTCTCTTCAAGTCACTGAAAGGATTTCTTGCTGCCGTGGTCTCTTGGATCTCAATTAAGGAATTAGTATTCTCTGAAGCCTATTTCCTGAGCTCAGAGGTGCCAATTAGAGACGTGAGGGCCCGTTAGCTGTGAGTAGTGTTTACAAGTTTTTATGTTTGTTACCAACATTTTACAACTGGAGGAATTCCCACAAAGGTCTGGATTTCCTGCTTTTCTTGCAAAACCAAGAGATCAAGCAATCTTGGGTTCACATTTCTGCAGAGTGCTCTTGGCTGGAGTCGCCTTATGCTGGCCTGCTGCAATCATTTATGCTCCCTGCCTGGCCCTGAATGCATCTGAGTTACTGGCCCTGTGGCACGTAATTCTTAAGCTGTCCTGATTTTTCTGGAGCACAGGAAGCTTGTACTTAAAACCTGTGCCGCCCATGTCATTTTTTGTGTGTGTGTTAAATCACTTTATTAAGGTCTGATTGACATACAAAAAGCTGTACATATTTAATGTGTACAACTTGATGAGTTTAGAGATAAGCATATACCTGTGAAAACTTCACCACAGCCTATACCACAAACTTATCCATCACCTCCAAAAGTTTCCTCCCGCCTTCTTATTTTATTATTATTATTATTACTGTGATAAAAACACTTATAATATCTACCCCCTTAGCAAATTTTTAGGTATACAATACAGTACTGCTAACTATAGGCACCATGCTGTACAATAGATCTTGAGGACTTATTCACCTTTATAAATCCCATGTCATCTTCGTGGAGCTTCTGTCCTATATGGCCTCGTGGGTGACTGTTACCATGGCAATGCCAATCAAAATACCAACTCTGCTTACAGTGTGTGTGAAGTTCCTTTCCTGGGTGGATTTTATTTCGACCATGAAAGTTTGAGCTCAGAAAATTACCTTTTTCACGTTTGTCATATTTAGAGAATTTCTTTCTTGTATGAATCCTCCGGTAAACAAGAAGAAATAACACTTTGGCTAAAATACCATTTGCATGCTCATTATATCATATGGTTTCTGCTATCCCTTAGGGCGAGGCTTTTATAAATTCCCAGCATGCATTGGTACAGATGGGGAAGGTCTCTGTGAGGGGGCAGGAGGGGCCAAACATTAATTTCTGCGTGCTGTGTTCTGAAAAAAAAATTGTGGTGGTGAGGGGATTATGCCATATACCCATTTCCAAGAGTTGAATGCATTCAGGCTGCTAAGTAAGTATAATACAGTTCACTTATTTATTGTATTTTATCGACACTACCTATTTCCCAGAGAAATTCGAAGTAACCAACAATAAAATATAAGATATAAAAACATGAGACTATAAAAATGGGGGAACAATTTGATAAATATAAATATCCCTAGCAGATAAAGAGAAACGCACGCTCCTTCTAAGCATCCATGGTTTGAGTCTGAAGATAAACCATTTGACCTGAAAGCTGATGAAGCTGTGACCCACGTGCTCCAGGCTCTGAGAAGGATTGCTTTCAAGAACTATCGACAGACAAG